GTTGTTTGAGATGGGAAGAAGTGAAGAAAATAGAAGAGCTATTCTGACTTGCTTAAAGTTGATTTTAAAGATAAAGAAAAATAGTTCAACTCAGCTTTCCTTGCCTAGCCAATGGTGCAAAACTATAGAACATGAGCACTGAATTATGTGGCTGGCACCTGAGAACGTATTCCTTTGACTTAACTCTATCCTAAGTAGACCTATCAGGCTGCTCTTATTCTAACACTGTATGCTCCTCTAGACTGTTTACTTTCTGAGGGCAGTCTTGTTTTCTTGTCTCCCGATCACCTAACACTGTAAAGATGTTTAAAAATAATGAATGAATGAGTTCACAGGAGTCTCATTAAAAATGTCTTCCAGAAGCACATGAAAAGGAGACATTATCTTAACTGCACTCTGTCTGGACTGTTTTGTTACTTCATGGCTTTTATGTCCAGATTCTAGACTCCCTTTTGTAAGGCACACAAAATGTAAGAATAATTTTGAGAGTGGATAGATGAATCTCAAAGCACAGTGGGAACCATTCAGGCAAGGATTGGGGGGACAGAAATAGAAAAGGAGGAGACCGTAGCCCAAACCAGGCTAACACAGATCCCCTCTCCTTCTTATGATACCAATGCAAAGTCTAGACTGTTACCTCCACAAATCTGAGGCTGAGAGTACCTTTTGGAATTTTACCTCCTTCCCAGGCTTTCTTTTGATGTTTAATAAAATTTCACGTGTCAAAAAGTACTGAAGCAGAGAGAAGACTATATGTAAAATCCTAAAGATTACCTAAAGGTAATGCAATTGAACTTTTGACAAACAAAAATATGTGTCAAAAACACCTAGTAAGAAAAAATCTGTTGCAATGACACATCAGACAAGGGACTCATTTCTAAAATATACCGGAAACTACAACACCTCTACAAGAAAAAGAAAAATAACCCAATTAAAAGATGGGCAGAGGATATGAACAGACACTTCACCAAGAAGGAGATCCAGGCAGCCAACAAATATATGAAAAAATGTTCACGATCACTAGCCATTAGAGAGATGCAAATCAAAACAAAAATAAGATATCATCTCACACCAGCAATAACAGCAAAGATCAAAAAAGTAAAGGACAATAAATGCTGGCCAGGATGTGGAGACTGGGATGCTCCTGCATTTCTGGTGGGATTGCAAAATGGTCCAACTTCTCTGGAAAACAATATGGTGCTTCCTTAGAAGGTTGGAAATAGAAATACCTTATGATCCAGCAAGGAGCTCTGGTAGCATAGCGGTTATGAATCGGGCTGCGAGCCGCAACGTCAGCAGTTTGAAACTACCAGCAGCTCCGCGGGAGAAAGATGAGGCTTACTGCTCCCATAAAGATTTACAGCCTCGGAAACGCTGTACAGGGTCGCTATAGTCGGCATCAACTCCACGGCACATAATAACAACAATGACCCAGCAATTCCTCTATTTGGTATTTACCCACAAGAAATACGAGTCATAACATGAGTAGATATATGCACACTAATGTTCATAGCAGCACTGTTTACAACAGCAAAAAGGTGGAGACAGCCTAGGCACCCATCAATGGAAGAATGGATAAACAAACTGTGGTAAATACACACAATGGAATATTATGCTACCTTAAAGAATAACAAGGAAACTGCAAGCCACCGCCCGCATAACATGGATGAACCTTGAGAACATTATGCTGAGTGAAATTATTCAGTCACAAAAGGAAAAATATTGCAAAGGACCACTAGTGTAAACTACTAAGAAAAAGGGTGAGGGGATTCTTTGCTGGTTACCGGATGTGGGGGGTGGAGTGAGGGGAGGGAGGGAAAGGTGGAGCACAGGGCAGGGAATAGACACAGGATAGTTTGGGTGCTAGGGAGGGGGGCAATACACAAGAATGGGGAGGGGAATGGAAGAACAAGGTGGATGGTAAAACAATTAGGCAGGTTTGCATGGGATAAGTGGGACAGAGGTAAATAATGATGCATGCACAACCTTGGAACAAAAGGGTTCTGGGATACAGGGATTGAGACATGGTTGGATAGGGCAAAGGGGGTTAATAATGTTAAGATGCTTGGTTGTCTTTTGAATCTTGGTTTCCCTGGCATACCATTATAAAATAGACACTTGAGGTAGAGAGAAAGGAATAGCCGGAAATATCACCATAGAAAGCTTGTAAGCCCGTCTTCTGTCTATAACTGATTGGAATACCTAAAATGGGGCTACAACATGCCCAGTGAAGGAGGCTTCCTGTGACGCCTCTGCATTACATAAGACCATAGGTGGAATCCTGAACCTCATCCAGAATCTTCTGAGGTGGGAAATTTCCACTTGAAAGAACAAGCAGACCAGCTTGGAGTGGCTAAAAGAACAGAAGCTACTTCTTAAAAGAAAGACCAACAGGAAAAATACAAAACAATAACAGCAGTGTGACTGATTACTACAAGAACAAGTTGCTCGCCCAGGAGATCATCAAAGCACATGGTCGCGTACCCTCAGTGCAAACCCCCTTCCAAGACTAAAACTCAATGGGAATACACAAGCAGACACGCACTCTGATTGGTGACCATGTTCGTCACTGATAAAGGGAATTGAGGGAAAAACAGCAATGAAGCTGCGAGGTAAGCCCTACAACATTCAATAAATTCCTGTGAACCCAAGTGAAGACCTGGTCGGCCAGCAGTGTGGCAAGACCTGGGGACTCCTGGGCCCATTATCAGTGACATAGCTACAGAGGACTAGAGTGGAGAGTGAAGTGTTCAGCTGATAAGAAGTGAGGACATATGCATAAGAACATACCCACTTGACCTGGCTTCAATGGCTATATGATCAGAGCTCAACTAGAAGAAAGAAGAGGGAAAAAAGAGTAATCTGATACAATTTGATTAACCTGACCTACACTTATGGACGCATAGCTCAAGAGAGAACAAAATCTTTACAGCGAGGATCATTCCCACCCCCTCCATACACAGAGTAGACAGGGATGGGTAACTCAGACATTGGCTACCCAAAATGGGGGCTACAAAGGCAAGAAGTGACTGGCTTACAAGCTTTCAAAAGGGAGCCTAGATCCAGAAGGCGCGGAGGAAGGTAGAATCTCCACTGAGTAGTATCCAATCTGTCTGGGCGGGGCTGATGAAAGGAGATGGGGATAGGTCTCTTGTGATACGGTAGTGAATAATTGTTATCAGGACTGATTGTGGGGGTTGGATATGTAAAGGTAGACGTTTTGTAGTAAAAGGAGGGGAGTGATTGACTTTGCAGTCTAGGAGCCAAGGTCCCTGGGACCATAAAGGAAGAAGAGCGGAGTGTGGGACCCTACCCAGAGAAACAGAGACACCAGAGATAGAGGCAGAGACGATGATGTGGAGAGATTAGACCCAGAGAGGGAGAGGGGCTGTGTGCTGATGACCGGGGGTGGGCAGGTGTTGATGATGCATGGAGGGGATTGTAACCATGACACTGAAATGATATACGATAGGATGAATGTAAAAGCTAACGTTCTTCCATGTAAACCATCACATAACTCACAATAAAACATTAAAACACACACACACACACACACCCAGTAAATGTAAATGAGAATCCTGCTAGCCAAATGGAAGGTCTGTTTCTAACGTCAGGAGGCTGATTTATTTTGTTTTTAATAAATATGCCAACTTATATGTACAGATGAGCATTTCCTTCAAAATCATCATTCTGGAAGGCACTACACTTTTTTAACCATGTGACTGTTCTCAAGTAATTTTTGGAATTGCTTTCAGGGTCTGTGAGATTGTTTCCTGGATGCTGACTTTGAAGGTAGATATGATTTTCAAAAACAACCAAAGGTCCAAATCTAGTGAACTTAGAAGACCAATCAAATTCTAAAGTATCCAGGCTGCTTTTCTTTGTGTGAATTAGACTCAATTCTAGATGACAGAGCTCTGGTAGCGTAGTGGTTACGAATCGGGCTGCGAACCTTAAGGTCAGCGGTTCGAAACTACCAGCTGCTCCGCGGGAGAAAGATGAGGCTTTCTACTCCCGTAAAGATTTACACCCTTGGAAACCCTGTACAGGGTCGCTATGGGTCGGAACCGACTCGATGGCACTTAACAACAACAAAAACAACAAAAGACAAATTCCAGACATGAAGTAAGCATACTACAGGTATAACATCAAGCTTGAGGTTAAGGGGCTGGGGTGGCAACTCCTCTGAAGTAAACCCCACCTTTTTGGATATGCAAATGTTCAAGTAGTCCCCTCCCCCCAAAATACTTCCTCAGGTCCAGATCTACCCTACCTCATAATATCACACTTCCCAGAAGAACAGGACCCAACAGTCGTACTCCACATTTAATCCTCTGCCTGGATCATTTGATGTGTGGAATGGCTGATGGAAAATTAAATATGGCGGAAGAATTCTAAGGTGTCTGAGACTTACTCTATGTAATTGAAAGGGCATAACTAAGGCAGATTTCTGTTCTAGCTAAGACTTTGTCAGCAGCTGGAGCTGTCCAGCAGTGGAGTTAGTTTACCCTGAAAATGGTGAGCTTCCAAATCTGGAAAAAAGAGTCTAAAAAAAAGGCTGTTGTCATAGAAAACTAGCGAAGCCTCCTGTAATGGGTGGCGAGCTGTTCAATGACCTCCAAGGGCCATCCCCAGAGTCCAGTCTGCACAATATCGGGCACTCGGTAGGCTGAGAAAACACTGTTGGAATGGAATGAATGAGGAATATGGTGCATCTGTGAGACAAACAGGGTAAGAAGCCAGGGGCTCAGTTAGCTGCAAACAAAGTGGGGAAAAGTGAGCTGTGAACAGCCAGTGAAGCCATAGGTTGGGCCTTCCTTGAGTTTGGGGTACTTTGAGTACCTGAAGCCTCCTATAGTTATGAAAGGGTAAGGTTAGCAGTTCAAGCTCATCAGCTACTCCTAGGAAACTCTATACAGGGTGGCTATGACTCCATTGCACTTAACAACAATACCTGAGAAGAGGGTAGAAGCTGGGGGAGGAAACAGACCACTGCTCACCCTTCTTAAATTCCTCAAGCACCGTGTCCAGCCGGGTATCGTTGAAGACGCAGTGTAAGGGTCGGTTGTAGAAGCGGGTGACGGTGAGGAGCGGAGTGCAGTCATCTGGATCCACAAAAGCCAAATCCTTGACAAACAGAATGTCCACAATGTTGTGCCGCTGGTCGCCCTCGTACACTGGGATGCGAGTGTAGCCGCTTCGCAGAATCTCTGAGACTGTGGCGAAGTCCAGCACAGCGTCGGAGCACAGCATGAAGCAATCCCCGAGAGGGGTCAGCACCTCCTCCACTACCTTAGTGCGCAACTCCAGGGCACCCTGAATGATGTTGAGCTCCTCCTTCACCAGGTCGTTGTAGGGGTCTGCGGCTCGTAGCGTCTCTAGCAGCTTCTCCCGCGTGTAGAAGGTGCTGATCTCTTGGCGCAGCGCCCAGTCCAGCAAGCGGCCCAGCGGGTAGCACACCGGGAAGGCAGCCGCCATCAGGAGCCGGGTCAGGCATACGCTGTGTGAGGCGATGGCCAGCCCATGGCGCGAACACACCGAGTAAGGGCAGATCTCGGCGCCCAGGAACACGGCACCAGTGCACACCAACGCGGGCAGCCACGGGAAGTGAATCCCTGCCTCACTGTAGTCTTCCCCGGTGCCCCCTACGCCCGGAGGCAGCGAGGCGTACAGCCAGCCGGCCAAGGCCGCGTTGGCTCCGGCTTGGCCCAGGAGGAGAGTGCAGAGCAGATGGGTCCCCCTGCTGCGCACAGCCTGCACGCGGCGCGCCTGCTCCTGCTCGGTGGCCGAGCCGCTGTTCCGCAGCACCCGTAACTCGACCGGGTCCAGCGAGAGCAAGCTCAGGCGCAGGCCGCTGAACAGGGCAGACAGGGCGAGCAGCAGGAGCGCCCCAAGTGCCCGCAGCCACGTGGGGGGCAGCAGGTTAACGCCCTGGCCGTAAAGCCGGGGCCGGACGCGCAGCAGGAAGCCGCCGGCTGCGCCATGGTGGTGCCAAGCGCGTCCATCCCAGGCGCACAGCGAAAAGAGCTTCCCGCCACCGCCCGCGCTGCCCTGCTCCGCCTCGCCCTTGCGCAGCTCCCGCACCCTCACCTGGACTAAGGCCGAGCCTGCCACGCCTCCGGGGCGAAGGGGCCCCAAAACCTCCACGTCCGACGCCCAGTCGCTCTGCTCGCGGCAGCGCTGTGGCCCTGGGGGCCGCGTGGGAACTGCGCTGGGAGGCACGCCGCTCCCGCCTGGGGGTTCCTCGATAAACACGATACGTGGAGCCAAGTCGCCGGTACCGTTTTCCCCCGGGGAGAAGGTGGGTGCGGGGATCCTCGCCGCGGGAGCCGCGGGCCCCGGCTGGAAATAGACGCGCAGAAGGAAACTGGTGCCTTCAGCCGCGCGCAGGGTGCCCCCCTCCAGGGACACGCGGCCTCCCGCGGTGTCCTCGGGCCGCAGTCCCAGTAGCCAGGAAGCCACGGCCGGAGGCCGAGGAGACAGAGAGAAGAAGAGCAGCAGGACGGCGCCCCGGCTGCAGCAGTCCCGGAGCCTGACACCCACCGCCGTTGCCGCCGCCGCCATCCTGCACCCGGCGCGGCTGCACGTGATACTGCAGAAGCCGAGCAAGAGCCGGAGGGAGGAGGAGCCGGTGCCCGGAACCCGGCCCCAGGCAGGTCACCGCGTGTACGCCCCCTGCGCCGGTGGACTAGGGGTCTCCGCTAAGAGCCAGAAATGGCTTTGCATCACCACACCCAGCACAGCCCTGACACACACTTCAGTCTGTCTGAGCTGCAGCCTTGGGAGGGCTTGGTTTGCATCAAGGCCTCCCACTTCAGCAGGAGGGCGCCCCAGGGCGAACTCCTACCCGGCAGTAATTCCCTGCTGGCCCAATTGCTTCCCCATTGGCTGGGAAAATTCCCTGCGTTTCACCTACTAATAGAAATTTGTTCATCTGCCATTTGTGTACCCACTTCAGGCGAAAATAGATTCTGGAAGCAAATCTTGAATCTGTGAGAACGTTTCGTATTTGGTTTCAATCCATTGAGGTTGTAAACATTTCCACATTCTTTATTTTAGATCTGAATAACCATATGTAAGAAAATACTGAAATAAATCAGTAAACGACTATGCAATGGAATACCATGCAACAGGAAAAAAGAATGAGATAGAGTCATGAATGCGAGATGAAGAAAACCTCTAAAATAATTGAAACAAGGTACAGAACAGTTTGTACAATATGCTACCATCTGTGTTAAAAATATTTATGTGCATATCCTATGTAATATGCATAGGATACACAGGAAATTTGTAATATGCATAGGATACACAGGAAATTTGTAATAGAGCTTGCCTCTAGAAGTTTGGTTGAGAGAGGCTGTAAAAAATTAATTTAGATTCACAGGAAACTACAAAAGTAGTACGGAGAGATCAAGTGTACCCTTCACCCAGTTCCCTCCAATGGTTACATCTTACTTAACTACAGTACAATTAGCAAAAACCAGGAAACTGAAACTGGTATAAGGTTTGTGCACAATTCTGTGTCATTTAATCACACGTGTGTATTTATGTAACCACCTTTGCAAGATAGCCCTACATCTGAGAGGGAGACTTTTTACTGTCTCTTTGAAGTCATCGGACTTTATCATCATTTCAAAAACAACTAACATTTTTATAAATTTTTACCATTGCAAAGGAATTCATATTCATTATTTCACTCACCCAATAGCCTCATGAAATAGGTATAATTATACCCACTTTGGAGTTCTGGTGTGGCACTGAAGCATAATGCATTGGACCATGAGGTCGATTTGAACTGCAAGGTCAATGGTTCAAACCCACCAGGAGATCCTTGAAAACCTTAGACAGAGTCACTATGAGTTGGAACCTCTTGACAGCACTTAACAACAGCGACATACCCACTTTACAGATCAGGTTAAATGACTGCTCAGGTAGAACTGCTTTGGACTCTTAGGTCAATGTTTCTCCAAACACTCAGAACTGAGCAACACCAAAATAAAAGCTTTTTTTCAAGTAATACATTAGGAATTTTTAAACAAAACGCCTGAATTTCTGATTATAAAGTATCACACTGTTTATGTTGTTAAGTGCCGTCAAGTCGGTTCCAAGCCATAGTGACTCCAAAGTATTACATACTCATTGTAAACAAATTAATGCAGAAAAGGATAAATTAAGTAAGAATAACCTATAATCAAGATCCTTCAGGACAAACCCCCCTCTAAGACTGAAACTCAAAGGGAACACATGAGCAGGCATGTAAGCTTGCTGGCAACCACATTGGTCTACTAGTTCATGGAAGAAGGGGGAAGGCAGCAATTAAGAAATGGACTGAGTTCAACCACAGTCCATTGACTCCCGTTGACCTGGAGATGAGAGGGAAAAAAGGAAGGGCTGGTTGGTCCAACGTGTGGAGACACCTAAGCTCATGGACAAGGACATAGCCACAGAGGGCTAGAGCTGAGAGTGAAGCATCCAGCTGATATGAAGTGAGGGGAGATGCGCAGGAACACCCAAACTTTCAGACAGTACCCATTTATTTGACTTATCCTCAATGGCTTGATAATCAGAACTAGACTAGAGGAAGATTTTTTTTTTTATTTTTTTTATAAAAGAAACAAGGGTAAATTGCTATGATTTGATGAACCTGACCTATGCTCATGGAGGTAGTAACTCTAAATACCAATAGAGAGGGAAGGAGTCTTCATATCAAGTATCAATGCTATCCTCTCTGTACACAGGTTAGATAGGGATGGGCAACTTATAAACTGGCTACCTAAAATAGGGGAAAGAGGGCTATACAGGCACGAAGTAACTAGCTTACAAGGTTTCATGATGGAGTTTAGTATAAGTGTGTCGGGGGAAGAAAGAGTTCCCACTGAATAATTTTCATCTTGTCTAGATGGGTCTGGTAAAAAGAGATGGGGATAAGTTTCTTACCATTCAATAGTGAGTAATTGTTATCATGACTAATTGTGATTGTCACAATTGTAATGGTAGAAGTTTTGTAACAAAAACAGGGGAGTGGTTAATCTTACAGTCCAGAAACAGAGGACCTTAGGATCATCAAGGGGGAAGAGCACAAACAGTATGTGGGACCTTATCCAGAGAATCAGTGATGCCTGAGGCGGAGGCAGAGATGAGGACATGGAGAGAAGGAGCAGCTGAGGACTCAAGATTCACGGGAAGAGAGGGACTAAGAGCTGGTGGCCAAGAGGCAGGCTTGGAGAATGCGCCCTTTGGAGGTGTAAATTATTATATATGCCTGAGTGTTTTTTGTTTTGTTTTTATTTAAAAAGCTAAAGTGAATAGTGAGAAATACTGTTAACTGATGGTACATAGAGGGGATTATGAAACAAGGTATACGATTTGTTGAATGTAAAACTGAGGATCTGCTCTGTAAACTTTCACTCAATCCACAATAAAAACCTTTAAAAAAAAAGTGGTGGGGGTGGGGCGGGATAGAGGTAAATACTGTTGACTGATGGTACATGGAGGGGATTGTAATCATTGCAATGAAGCAAAATATGATCTATGGAATGTAAAACTGATAATCTGCCCTGTAAACTTTAACTCAATTCACAATAAATACTTGTTTAAAAATTAAAAAAAAGAAAAGAGCTGAACAGAAAATTTCAAAGGTCAGTTCGAGAAGACAAAGTCAAATATTACAACAAAATGTGTAAAGATCTGGAGTCAGAAAACGAAAAAGGAAGAACACACTCCCGCATTTCTCAACCTGGGAAACTGTAGAAAAAATTCAAGCCTCTAGTTTCATTACTGAAGGATTCTCTGGTCAAATTATTGAATGATGCAGAAAGCATCAAGAGAAGATGGAAGGAATACCCAGAGTCACTGTACCAAAAGGAAATGGTTGATGTTCAACGGTTTCAAGAGGTAGCATATGATCAAGAGCCAATGATACTGAAGGAAGAAGTCCAAGGTGCATTGAAGGAATTGGCAAAGAACAAGGCACCAGGAATTGATGGAATAAACATTGAAATCTTTCAAGAAAGTGAAGCGGCATGGGAGGCACACACACTTCTATACCAAGAAATTTGGAAGACAACTATCTAACCGACTGATTGGAAAAGATCCGTATTTGTGCCCATTCCAAAGAAAAGTGACCCAACGGAATGCAGAAAATCATCAGACAATATCTTTGATATCCCATGCAAGTACCATTTTACTAAAGGTAATACAGAAACAGCTGCAAGCATACATTTACAGAGAACTTACAAAGGCTCAAGCCAGATTCAGAAGAGGACGTGGAACAAGGGATATCATTGCTGATGTCCAGTGGAGCTTGCTGAAAGCAGAGACTACCAGAAATATGTTTACCTGTGCTTTATTGACTATGCAAAGGCTTTTGATTGTGTGGATCATGACAAGCTGTGGGTAACATTGCAAAGTATGAGTATTCTGGAACACTTAATTGTACTCATGAGGTATCTGTACCTGGACCAAGAAGCAGTTGTTCAAACAGTACATGGGAACACTGAATGTTTTAAAATTAAGAAAGGTGGGCGACGAGGTTGTATTCTTTCACCATACTTACTCAACCTGTATGCTGAGCAAATAATCTGAGAAGCTGGGTTATATGAAGAAAAATGTGGCATCAGGATTGGAGGAAGACTCATTAACAACATGCAATAATTATGAAGAATGAGTGTACCAGAACACTTAATGGTGTTTATAAGGAATCTGTACACAGACCAAGATTGTTGGAACAGAACAAGAGGATACGGAATGATTTAAAATTAGGAAAGGTGTGTACCAGAGTTGTATTCTTTCACCATTCTTATTCAATCTATATTCTGAGCAAAGAATCCAAGAAACTGGACTATATTGCACATATACATGTGGAGTCCTAGTGTGGCACTGCTACTGGATTGCAAGGTTGTTTTGAACAGCAAGGTCAGCAGTTCAAACTCACCAGCACCTTCTCAGAAACTCTATACAGGGTTGCTATGAGTTGGAACCCACTCGATGGCACTTAACAACTATATATATATATATATATATATATATATAATGAAGAAGGCTTGGCAAAAGACTCATTAACAACCTATGATGTGCAGATGACACAAATTTGCTTGCTAGACTTGAAGGGGGTTTGAAATACTGATGAAGATCAAAGACTAAAGCCTTCAGTATGGATTGTACCTTAATTAAAGAAAATAAAAATCCTCACCACTGGACCAATAAATTATATCATGATAAACAGAGAAAGGATTAAACTTGTCAGAGACTTCATTTTGCTTGGATCCCTTATGAATAGTCCTGGAAGCAACAGTCAAGAAATCAAACAATGTATTGTATTAGGCAAATTTGCTGCAGAAAACCTCTTTAAAGTGTTAAAGAGCAAATGTTTTTTCGAGCACTTAAATGCACCTGACCCAAACCATGGTATTTTCAATTGCCCCATTTGCATATGAAAGTTGGACAATGCATAACGAGGACTATAGAAGAACCGATGCATTTGAATCGTGGTGTTAGAGAAGACTATTGAAATTACCATGGACTGTTAGAACAAACAGATCTATGTTGGAAGAAGTGTAGCCTGA